GGATGACCCCCTCTGATCAAACACACCAAGTGGGGGACTTCAAGGGAGGCGCTCCCGCTCCAGACTTCCTCGCAGTTCGCTCACAGACGAGGCTCCCGATCAAGACTTCCTCGAGATTTAGACCCCAAGAGCCCAAAAGCGAGGACAGTTGCAGCGTTTGGGTGGCCCCCTCGGATTCGTGCGTCGCCGGGTGTCGTGGATGAGGATCAGTTGTGACGAGCATCGCCGCTGGCCCAGACGAGCAGCGGTGCTCCTTGGATGAGGGTCGGCATGTCGTGCGAGGCCTCAGGGTTCGAGGCCACGCGCAGGGGGAGGGGCCCCAGAGAGCTCCGGAGCTCCGGCACAGCCGAAGAGCGCCCCAAAGGGGGTGGGGGCCCAAGATGGTTCGAGAGGCCCGAGAACGGCCCTCAGACGCCTCAAAGAGGACCCCTGAAAGAGCGTAAAGGAGCAACAGCGATTGATTTACCAGAATCGGCCCCTGATGGCCCAATAGGCTCCCGAGGGGGCCCCCAAGTCAGCACAACTTGGTTCCAAGACAGCCCAACGGGGCTCCAAGACCGATGATTTCCCGTGTTCCTCTTGTTCGTCGCTGTCATCGTTTTTGCGCGCTGTTGTTGCGAGCTTTCTCGCTCAGAGGACGAGCTCTTCGGAGTGGCCTCCGCACCTTCGAGCTTTCCCTCTTCACCCGCGTCACCTTCCTCCTCCTTTTCCTCCTCCTCCTCCTCGTCCTCATCCTCGCCCTCATCCTCATCCTCCCCCTCGTCCTTCTCAGTCCTTCTCCTTCTCGCCCTTCTCTCCACTACCTTCTCTTGCTTGGGCCTGGAAGCGCTGAAGGGAAGGCTGCGAAAGCGAAAGTGACTGGGCCAGGTGCGCTCATGTTTGTGTCCAACACTTGCCGGTTTCCGTCAGTTCTCTTGGCCTCAGCTAGCGCAGTTCCAGGGTTTGGAATCCCAGGGTCACAGGAGCTTCCCAATCGGCAGACGAATTTTGGCTCTGGCGAGGCTGGTGGTGTGTGTTCCCCCTTTTGTCTCAGTCCAACTCCCCAACGTACGTACGCTAATTATTCTTTGTTGGTCCAGCCCAGGGTAGGTTCTCCAGTCCATCACCTGCCCGACTCATGTCTGGACCCCCCACCCCCCTGGCCGGGTTTCTTTTCTTCCCTCCGCGTGGGGTCCCTCGTCGCAGCAACCCGTTAAATTTTCGAACCCTGGCGGCGCGTGGATTTCTTTCTTTCGTCCGCGCGCGCTTTCCCTTGGACCCCCTGAACTCTTCCGATTAGAGTACAAGTAGTACCTGAATGTAATTGGTAGTAGCAGCTTTGTCGTCGTCGCTCTTCTGAAGCAATTAGAATCGTGTGTCTTTCTCGTTTTCTTCTCGGAGTTGGTTTGTGTGGGTCGATTTGTGCCGCTGGTTTTCGATGACACTGGGTAAGTCCACAGGCATATGGTATATATATATATATATATATATATATATGGTTTGTCTGAAACATGAGCCGGGCAAGAGCACACAAAATATGGTGACCAACTCGTTACTACAGTGGAACAAGCTGTTTCAATGCAACTACGACGTACTAGCAGAGCTTTAGTCAACTACTTTTAGAGCACTGCTATCTGGGCTCTCGCACTTGTTCTCCTCTGGTTGTGCCGGGTGGGCGGAGGGGTGAACCCCGCGCGCGAGCACCCTTGCGGCTGAGAGTTCGTTCTTCTTGCGAGAGTTGAGACGGGGGTTACCCCCCGTTCTCGAACCCCTCGCCAGGGATTTGTTTCTTCCGCGGAAGCCTGACCCCCTGGGTTCTTCGGCGCGCCCCAGATGTCCTTTCCTTCCGGATGGGCCCCCATGGATCCTACGTTTGAGTCGGCCAGTTGATTCCAGTCCTGACCGTTTGGTTGTCCTGGGAGCTCGATGTCGTATGTGTTTCCTGCTCCTTCTCACCGCGTGCATCGTGGAGGAAGTTCGTGACAGACTCCTGGTGCTTCCTGAGAAACGCCACTGCGTTGACGCAGGAAGACGGGCCGTCGCACGCGGGCCTGAAAAATGTCCCCCCCCCTTCCCGGACCTCCACTGCCCAGCTCGGGCGGCCTTCTGCCTGCTGCTTCGACGAAGCTACGGGCGCCATGCTGGTGTACACTGGGCTGTTTTACACCCACGCCATGGGCGCGTCCGTCAGCAAGTACCGAAGAAGAAAAAGCAACATAATCACACACTTTCGAAGGTCCGCGCGGATTTTCTTGCATCGGCGCTGGGCGATGGGCCCCTCTGGCGGCGCCTCCGGCGCCGCCCCTGGCGCGCTCCAGGCGCCAAGGAGGGTATGTGGTCCAGCGCCGATCCAAGAAATAAATCCGCGCGGACCTCCGAAAGTTTTCGGTCGGGAACGTACCGCAACATCAGCGGGCAGTACCACTACATCTGTACCATTACATCTGTAAGCTCCTGATATCTGGTTGTGTGCTCGACACACCGTGCCTCTACTGAAAGAAAAAAGAACGTGTGCTCAGCGTGTCCCGCTGCCTGTTCTGGCCCACCACGCCTCGGCGCGACACGCTAAGTAACCACTTGCCCGCCCCCGGGCGCGTCCCGAGCCTTCCGAAGCCTCCCGTGGAGCGGAGCGACACGCTATCAGCTCGCAAGGCATAGCGTGTCGCCGGGGACGCCGCCGCGACACGCTAAGCAAAAGCTCCTGACCGTATGCGTGTGCCGTGTTTTCTTCTCCGAGAGCACCAGGCCCCCCGGCCCGCTGGCAGCACGCCTGGGCTCGTCGACGACAGGCCTCTGGAGTGACCCGCCGCGCCGGCACCGCCGCTCGCTCGAGGGCAAAGCATGGGTCGTGAAGAGCACCGCTGGCGCACCAGAAAATGATCTTCTTGCCTGATGCGCTCTTGGCTGGCACCAAGCGGCCCCCAGAGAGCACCAAGCTTCGAGTAGGGGATCGACTACAGAATTGATTCACTCCAGAATTTATTTTCCCGTCGGATCTGCGAACAAATACATGGAGCGCTCGGTAGATTTACGGAGCATTCTACGCATTCTTCGTGATTCTTCGGGAAGAACAAGTCTGGGGTAAATCAATCGTGTAGTCGATCCCCTACTCGAAAGCTGGCCCCAGAGGGCACCCGGAGGGAGCCCCAAGCTGCTACTATATGAAGGCGTGCGTGTATTTTTGGATGTGCACGCACGGGCGCCCAGCCGAACTGAGTGTCGTTGCTGTGGAGGTCCGGGACATCGCCGCCTCCCCGGTCCTCGGGACATCTCCGCCTCCCCGGGACATCGCCGCCTCCCCGGGACATCGCTGCCTCCCCGGTATCGCCAACGTGACAGAACCGATCGAAAATGTTTCGGTCCTTGCCCGTGTGAGTCTTGGCTCCGGTGGGCCGGCCCAGCCGCCTCTGCACGTGGTCAACACCACCGTAGGCCGGCCTGCGGGCGGCACCCGGGATCGAAGGGCACTACCAAAGAACGTGGCTGAGCATACCGCAGCTGATGCCACACCACGGGCAGCCGGGCGCAGTAGCACCTCAAGTCTGAATGTGGTGTTTGGCCGGGCTGATCTCCGCACCCGTGAAGACCCTGCGAGCCTTCTCGGTGTCGTTGTTGTATGCCTCCTGGACGACCCTGACCCTCTTGGGATCATAGCTGGCCAGCTGCGCGAGAGGCGCCTCACGTCTCTCCTTGGCTGCAGATGCCTGCTACGTGTGGTAATGCCACGCCTAACGCAGGGTGTGGGCAAGTTGTTTCGGCCGCACCCAGTTTCTGTCGGCAGGCCGCAGCAAGGAACAGGCCTCGGTGCTGGCATGGACCCATTCCCATGGCAAGTGGTCGTGGGGCTTCCGCCCTGTCCAGCGCAGGTGCCTGCTTAGGGACCCTGGCAGTCCGTGTCTGGCCTCCGGGAGGCGGGCGGGATCTCCTCGGCCTCCTGCCATGCCTCCCCTGGGCGCCGGCTGCTGCCGTCAGCGCCGGCGGCTGGCACCGGTGCTTGATGCCGGTGCGGTGTCGTCACGAAGGTGCGGAGCTCCACCGCGGCGTGCCTCGGGATGTCGGTGGCCTGGAAGACGAGCTTCTGCAGGTGGCCGCACCGGGCGACAGTAACTAGGAGCGGTCTCTCGTGCCGTGCATACTCGGCCTTGCCGATCGCCGCGGATTCGAGAGTCCTCTGCCTGGGGAGGGGGTCGTGCGAGAGCGAGCGTGCGCGCCCACCCGCCTCGCCGCCTCCCTTTTCGCCTCTGGCCTCCGCGTTCCGCGGGTGACGGTGGCGCCGAGCACGATCAGGTGGTCCCTGGCACGCTCGGAGTCGATATCTCCAGGCGGGCGGCCACTCGGCGGCGACCGTGCGGACCTCTGTGAAGCCACTGTTCGCTCTCGGCATGGTCACGCATGCCCAGGGCATGCCCCGCTCGCGCCACAGCCTGGCAGCGCCGACGATGTCGTGAAGGCTGCGACTCTCCCACGCGCGGTCGTCCACGCAGGGCTGGTGCGACGCCGGAAGGGGAGGCCGCTTTCACCTCTCACGGTGCCCCCAGCAGCACCGCACTGAGGCACATCGGGCTCCACGGATCCCCTTGGGGGATGCCCGTTCCGACATGCCGTGCCTGGGGGTGCACGCACCCGCCGAGGAGGAGGTGCCTGTGCTGCTCGCACTGCTGTTCACGATCGCACCCGGCATGCCAAGATATGCCGAGCAAGCCCAGCGCCCCCTGCACGAGGTGGGGGTACAGCATGCCGAGTGCGATGGGGGTGGTCCCACGACGTGCAATAGGCGCCCGTGGCGGCCTCGGCGGACAGCTGGGCGTCGTGCACCTCCTTCCCAGCCTTCGCGCCCTTCATGTCCTCGCCCCACCACAGGTCCAGCCACCTCTTGTAGCTGGGGGACTTGATCCCGGCGCTGGCCCACGATCGATACCAGGCGGAGCCCACTGAGATAGAGCGGAAGGCTTCCGCATCGAGGAAGCTATTTGTGACGTCCGCGCCCTTTTTTCGGGAGGTGCGTCTGTCGGAATCCCCGCCACGCGGCCAGCACTACCCCGAGCGCCTCGAAAGCTAAGCACAGGGATGCAAAGCTTTCAGCGTGGAACTTCGCAGGGAAGAGCTCGTCTCCTGCCCAGCCGTCCAGCCCAGCGGCCTTCCCGCGCTGCTCTTGCACCGCTCTCCAGACCGAGCCTCGGGCGAGGGGCTGCCAGGGCTGTTCCTGGAGGTGCGGGACCCACGCTCCGAGTCGGCGGCCGGTGGCGTCCCAAGTCTGGGACTTCACGATCCCAGACTTGGCGCCACCTGCGGGCCCAGAAGCTCGAATGCCTGCGCGCTTGCTGTGGAGACCACGTCACCCTCCCGGACCGCTGTGCCCTTCGGGATGTTGCCCCTGAGCCACCAGTAGGCTGCCTGATCGGAACTGCGCAGGCGGCGGCGCCAGCGTTCCAGCCATTCTTATTCGTCGTCGGCCTCGCTGCGCGTCAGCGTGCCAGTAGCCATGGCGATGGCCGCCTCTGCTCGCCTCCGGCGGGCAAGTTGGGTGTCGGCTGCTCGCGTGCCTGCATCGAGGTCTGGCACCTGCCTCTGCAGCTTCTTGCGCAGGTCCCTCTCTGCAGGCGCCTCGCCCGTGAGTCTCCAGCCAGCTCAAGCGCCGCAGTTGGAGGGAGGGCCCCCGAGAGCCCCGAGACGGCCCAAGAGGGCCCTCCCGCGCGTCCCGCTGCCTTGGCACCGCTTGGATGTGCGCATGCGTTTCGGCAAGGACCATCGAGGGGCATGTTGGGCCATCCTGCGAAAACTGCACGCGTGGAGCCGAAAAGCGCACGGGGAACCAACGTCCGAGCGATGGCGAGCTGCGGTGCTTTCTCCTCGAAGGCAGAAAGCTGCATACACATAAACTTTCGAAGCTCCGCGCGGGTTTCTTGGATCGGCGCTGGGCCCCCCTGGCGGCGCTTCCGGCGCCGCCCCTGGCGCGCGGAGCGCGCCAGGAAGGGGAGCTCAGCGCAGGTCCACGAACTCCGCGCGGACCGTCAAAAGTTCATGTTCATGCCGTTCTTTGTCCCTCTGTCACCGGTGCTCCAGTGCCCCGCCCCCCCCTGCAGGCGTGTGCGATGACCTGCTGCGACGCGGGCCCTTTCTCGGATCTGGGTCGGGGAACTGCCCTTCGTGGCCGCGGCTCGCCGTGGCCGGGAGTGCCCCCTCGTTTCTGATTCGGTGGCGCTCCTGGTGGCGCGGCGGCCCCCCCGTGGCCCACCTCCCCCACGGTGCAAGAGTCCGTGGCTGCTCGCGCGGGCAGGCCGCGGTGGCCGGGAGGCGGGCGGGCTGGCTCCTCCCAGGGCCCACGGCACGGCAGGAGCCCCTGCTGCTCGGAGGCGTCGTCTCTGGGGCTCCCATGACCTGCTCGCACCACTCCGTGGCCATTCTGGCTCAAGCGCAGACTCCTGCACCTACACTGCTTCCTCTGTCCCAGGACCCTACAGGTCCCGTGGCTTACCCGCATACGCGAGTGGACCCGTGTTGTGTCATATCGACGCGAGCCCAGATGGCGACCTGGGCTTTGTGCTTTGCGGTGTTATTTCCTCACAGCATGCAGATCGCGAGTTCCATGACAATGGACCTCAACGACGCGCAGTCACTCGTCTTCTCGGAGGTGGACGGCAGCAGCTGGACGGAATTGCTTCCCAACGTGAACTACGCAGCTGGGTCATTGGTGATGAACGGGTATCACAATATTTTTAGCACCTTCGATGGCTGCAAGTCTGCCTGCGAGGCCATCACCGATTGCGTTTTTGTGCACTACTGCGACTCGGGCTCTGGCGGCAGGACTGGTCAGTGCTTTGGATTCACGGCGATGGTCGATTCGCCCTCTAACGCAGGGTGCGCAGTGACTCGCAACGCGGTGCGGGTGCTGCAGGACCCAACCCCAGCACCAACGCCGGCACCGACGCCAGCACCAACGCTGGAGGGCGTACCAACCCCCGCACCATCGGCATGGGTATCACTTGGTATTGGAATTTGTTCAGGGCATGATCAGGATTGGACAAGTGCCGACGCTTTGGGGCTTCATTGGGGTCTCCATCAGGGGTTGGGCTGGCGCATGTGCGACTACAGGTCTGACACTGAATGTCAACAGGTTTGTGATGCAACAGCAGGGTGCAGTATGATCTCGAACGGCAACTGCTGCTTCTTATTCAAGGGTGACGTATGCAATGCCGATGTTTCTTATCCTAATTACCAGTCTTACCTCAAGGAACCGATGCCAGCGCCAACGCCAGCACCAACGCCGGCACCGACGCCAGCACCAGCGCCGCCCCAGATTTCGGCCGTGGGCGATCCCCATATGCAAAATGTACATGGCGAGCGGTTTGATTTGATGGTGCCAGGCAGACATGTTCTGATCAACATCCCTCGTGGGGAGCGCACTGAAAAAGCTTTGCTTCGCGTGCAGGCCGATGCGCGCCGAATGGGTCATCAGTGCGCGGACATGTACTTCCTCGAAGTCAACGTGACCGGATCGTGGGCCGAGGCGAAACAAGCCGGAGGGTATCATTACAGCGCATCGCAGAGCGAGGTCGATGCACCTGAGTGGGTTGCCTTTGACAAGGTCGAGCTAAAGATCGTTCGCGGGCATACTGACACTGGTTTGTCGTACTTAAACGTGTACGTGAAGCACTTAGCACGAGCGGGGTTTGTTGTCGGAGGCCTGCTGGGCGAAGATGACCACAACGACATAAGCACGCCCGCGGTTGAGTGCACGCAGCAGCTGCGCCTGAAGAAGGGCGCGCGCCAGAGCAGCAGTGCCTCAACCGCAGAGGGATCTCTCGCCTGATGTGCTTTTGCATGGAGCCACTCGCCTGACGTACTTTTGCATACTGCCTTTTGACGTGTCCAGCGCTGGCGCAAAAAAACAAGTGAACTGCTTGCACCACGGTTGGCCCTGACTCCGGAGAGAGGTTGAAGGATCAGAGACGCAGTTCAATGGGTGTTGGAATGAAATAGTAAATATCGGGGGTGGACAGAACCCCCACCCTGACACGTCGATTAATGAATTGTCCGTTTTCGGTGCTCGAGAGGGCGCCGTGGCCGTCCTTTTCCAGGCTTTCGCCCGCCAGATTTGGGCCCGAGGTCGTGTTCACTAAACCACGTTTTGCTAAAGGGGATTCTGTCCATCCCCGAAAATGGTTGAGGACATGTGGTGTACCTCGAATTGGTGGCGGCAGGCAGATGGTGCCCACCATTGGGTTGTGAAAGGCCCAGGGTGCCCCTCAGTGCCCAGCCCGTCCCGTCCACAGGTACTTCGCACCTCCCCCATACGGTGAGGAGATGGGTGGACGGGCCCCCCCCCCCCCCTGGCGTCGCACGTGCTACGCCAGAGGTGGGCGGGGATTTTGCAAAGGTCGGTCTTGATTCCCTCCCTCCCCTCCCTTCCCGGGGGCACGAAGTCCTACAAGAAGTCCCCCCAGGGAAGACCCAAAGATTTACAGCAACCTCAGAGGGGGCCGCCTGTGACAACTGTTGCCCAGGCATTCGGCTGCAAACGCCACAGGCCAGGACACCCGGACGTAGTGCACCAATGCGTTTGGCCCGCACTCCGACGATCCAATCCACATACTTAAGTGTCGGAACCTACGAAATCGCCCAAAGTAGAGCGGGTCCGGAGTCAGGGGGGTACTGCTTTTAGAGCATCGCGCCGCTTGCTCTGGCCCTCCGTGCTTCGGCGCGACACGTGGAGACGCCCCAGTCCTCAAGCACAAACGTCCAGAGCCTTTCTCAGCCTCCCGCCCCAGGAGGCGGAGCAACACGCTATCAGCTTGCAGGGCATGCCACCGCCGCGACACGCTAAGCTCGGCGGCGAGCGAGGGGGGAAATGAGAAGAAGGAGGCCTTCTCAGAGGGCGGCTGGACTTCTCAGAAGCCTTCGCGTCTTTTGAACCGTTTCTTGTTGGTATTCGGTGAAGGCTTGGAACACTTCTCGGAAGGCTGGGGGACTTCCGAGCCTTCTGAGAAGGCCCGCCCCTTCTGACTTCCCCCCCCGGGCTCGCCGCCAGTCGGCAAAAAGCTCCCGACCCTAATTTCTTGCACAAACGGTTCATTTTGCGTGTGGGGACTTGTCTGGAAGTTCCAGGTCTTCGCCTGGCGGGCGCCTCGTGGGCGCCTCGTGCTGGCGAGGAGTTCTGGGTTTTCGCCTGGTGGACGCTCGTGGGCGCCTCGTGTTGGCTGGGAGTTCCGGGTTTTCGCCTGTTGGGTGCCCGCGGGCGTTTCGTGGGCGCATCGTGCGCTGGCCGCACCACGTAGCTTGCACCTCACAGCTTCCTCCACACAGCTTGCACTTACATACAGTTAACCGAATTTCTTGCACCGCATAGCTCACATCACATAGCTTCCACATCACTAGCGCGACTCCAATAGAAAGTGACTTAGGGGTTTTCTGGCCGCGCCGTCGTCGGTTCACTTTCGGCAAAGGGGACTAACGGGTCGGGCGGCCGCGCCGTCGTCGGAATTCCCAACCCCTCCTCTTCGCTGCAATATCCCCGCAGTTCCCCAGGTGGCGGTCGTCAGTTTTTTGTGACCCTCTCTTAGTGGTGCGGGATGTGTTTCTGTCAGTTTTGCGACCCCCCCCCTTCATTTTTTCCTGGTGAGTCCACGTCGTCGGTTCTGACGGTTCTTGGGTTTGATATTAATGATTCCCCCGTGATGTTTCCACCACATAGCTTTCACCACAACTATTCCTCCATACAACTTGCACATCCAGTGTGCACAGGCTCACTGGTCCAGACTCCACGTTAGCAAGCATCAATATGTTGTCAATGTAGTATCATTGTTGAAGTCTTGGGCCCTCTCTATCCGCCTGGGCGCTCCCGTCTCGATGCCGGCTACACTTTTTTCAATTTGCCGCTCATTCTTACACGTTTCGGCGAACATGCAAACACGCTAGCAAGATGTTCGAACAAGTCGCGCGCATGAATGAGGGTTGGAGTGGGAGGAGGAGGCAGAAGAGGAGGAGGAGGAGCTGGAGAAGAAGGAGGATAAGGTGGAGGTGGAAGTGGAGGTGGAGGTGGATGAGGAGGAGTTTCCTCGGAGGTTCTTGACGCCCACCGTCGGGGTGTGAGGTGGACGAGGAGGCGCTGGAGTAAGAGCAGGTGGAGGAGGAGAAGGAGGAGAAGGAGTAGGAGGAGAAGCAGTGAGAGCAGGAGCAGGAGCAGTGATGCGGAGCACGAGTTGGAGGAGGAGGAGGAAGAAGTGGGAGAGGGCCTGGAACTGACGACAGGTAGCCTAATCTTCAAGTGCGCCATCATGTTGGCACATCTCTTGCGAATTCGGTCCACCCTCCGCGGCTTGATCGTGTAAAGTCTCCTTTCGAGAAAGATGTGATAGAGCAGTTTCGCACTGGCCTTGTCGAAAACACCAGCGCTGCCCACTCGCGATACCAGCGAGTGCGGTGTACCCACGTCTCGCGCTGGACGCGGGCAAGGAAGCACCTCGAGCGGGCAGCCTCTCAGTCCCTGATATCCAGAAGCGGCCGGTCGCGTGAGGCGGCCCGCGATCGGGACGGGGCAGAGACGGAGACGGGGCAAGTCTCCTTCCGAGAAAGATGTGATAAGAGTCGTTTCGCACTGGCCCTGTCGAGAACACCAGCGCTGCCCACTCGCGACACCAGCGAGTGTGGTGTGCCCACGTCTCGCGCTCGACGCGGCCAGTGAAGCACCCCGAGCCGGCAGCCACTCAGTCTCTGATATCCAGAAACGGCCAGTCGCGTGGGGCGGCCCGCGATCAGGACGGGGCAGAGACAGAGACGGTGGGGCCGGACATGGACCGCAGATTCCTCATCGCGGTGGGCAGCAGTGAGAGGGAAGGACGAGGAGATCAGCCACGAGCCTCGAGGCCACACTGTACGCTTTCGCGGTGGCAGCGATGCGGGGCGCCGCGCGTCGCCGACTTCCGGCGCGAATCAGGATGCGAAGAGCTTGCAGAGCCGCAGGGGTGCGAGGCCTGCGCGCGCACCAGCTGGGTCGAAGCCTCAGAGCCTCAGAGCCCTTGATGCGCACTCTGCGGATGGGCAGCGCAGCTCTTGTCGGGTGGCCGCCGCCTCTTCCCTCGCCGACAGCTCCCGAGGGCGATGGGCTGCAGCGGAAGCGCCGCGCCATGTTTGCAGTGAGGCGCCGCGAGCGTAGCGGCATGGGATGGACAAGGACTCAGCGGCTCGATCGCTTCCCTCCGTTTGTTGTCCACCTGTCGTCCTCTATTGAATATTCACTCAATCCCCCTGCCGATGCCCGACTTAACGAACCACCTTCGTGCATTTGCTTTCCAGATTTCTTTTGCACGACCGTTCATCGTGAACAGGAGTTCGTGCAATCCCAGCCAGTCCCTGAATCGACCCCCCCATCGACTTGTTCAAATCATAGTATGCACAACACTCGTTTGATCTTAACAGTGGTGCATTTGCTTTCCAGATTTCTTTTGCACGACGTTCATCGTTAACAGGAGTTCGTGCAATCCCAGCCAGTCCCTTAATCGATCCCCACCATCGACTTTCCAAATCATAGTATGCACAACACTCGTTTGATCTTGACAGTGCGTTGTCAATTGACCCGTTACCCGTTTCAAGTAATACAAAGTGGGCCACACGCGCAGACATGCCAAAATTCGTCCAAAACAGTTGATTGTCGAAGATTGCTAAACAACAGCTATCAAAACACATTGCGTTTCATTAAACGTTGCAGATTTCTGTGCACGCGCACTCGCTGAGATCATAAGGGGTTGGATGACCCCCTCTGATCAAACACACCAAGAGGGGGACCTCAAGGGAGGCGCTCCCGCTCCAGACTTCCTCGCAGTTCGCTCACAGACGAGGCTCCCGATCAAGACTTCCTCGAGATTTAGACCCCAAGAGCCCAAAAGCGAGGACAGTTGCAGCGTTTGGGTGGCCCCCTCGGATTCGTGCGTCGCCAGTGGTCGTGGATGAGGATCAGTTGTGACGAGCATCGCCGCTGGCCCAGACGAGCAGCGGTGCTCCTTGGATGAGGGTCGGAATGTCGTGCGAGACCTCAGGGTTCGAGGCCACGCGCAGGGGGAGGGGCCCCAGAGAGCTCCGGCACAGCCGAAGAGCGCCCCAAGGGGGGGGGGCCCAAGACGGTTCGAGAGGCCCGAGAATGGCCCTCAGACGCCTCAAAGAGGACCCCTGAGAGAGCGTAAAGGAGCAACAACGATTGATTTACCAGAATCGGCCCCTGATGGCCCAACAGGCTCCCGAGGGGGCCCCAAGACAGCACAACTTGGTTCCAAGACAGCCCAACAGGGCTCCAAGACCGATGATTTCCCGTGTTCCTCTTGTTCGTCGTTGTCATCGTTTTTGCGCGCTGTTGCTGCGAGCTTTCTCGCTCAGAGGACGAGCTCTTCGGAGTGGCCTCCGCACCTTCGCACCTTCGAGCTTTCCCTCTTCACCCCGTCCCCTTCCTCCTCCTTTTCCTCCTCCTCCTCCTCGTCCTCATCTTCGCCCTCATCCTCATCCTCCCCCTCGTCCTTCTCAGTCCTTCTTCTCGCCCTCCTCTCCACTACCTTCTTGCTTGGGCCTGGAAGCGCTGAAGGGAATGCTGCGAAAGCGAAAGTGACTGGGCCAGGTGCGCTCATTTTTGTGTCCAACCCTTGCCGGTTTCCGTCAGTTCTCTTGGCCTCAGCTAGCGCAGTTCCAGGGTTTGGAATCCCAGGGTCACAGGAGCTTCCCAATCGGCAGACGAATTCTGGCTCTGGCGAGGCTGATGGTGTGTGTTCCCCCTTTTGTCTCAGTCCAACTCCCCAACGTACGTACGCTAATTATTCTTTGTTGGTCCAGCCCAGGGTAGGTTCTCCAGTCCATCACCTGCCCGACTCATGTCTGGACCCCCCACCCCCCTGGCCGGGTTTCTTTTCTTCCCTCCGCGTGGGGTCCCTCTTCGCAGCAACCCGTTAAATGTTCGAACCCTGGCGGCGCGTGGATTTCTTTCTTTCGTCCGCGCGCGCCTTCCCTTGGACCCCCTGAACTCTTCCGATTAGAGTACAAGTAGTACCTGAATGTAATTGGTAGTAGCAGCTTTGTCGTCGTCGCTGTTCTGAAAAGCAATTAGAGTCGTGTGTCTTTCTCGTTTTCTTCTCGGAGTTGGTTTGTGTGGGTCGATTTGTGCCGCTGGTTTTCGATGACACTGGGTAAGTCCACAGGCATATGGTATATATATTTTTGGTTTGTCTGAAAGATGAGCTGGGCAAGAGCAAACAAAATATGGTGACCAACTCGTTACTACAGTCGAACAAGCTGTTTCAATGCAACTACGACGTACTAGCAGAGCTTTAGTCAACTACTTCTAGAGCACTGCAATCTGGACTCTCGCACTTTTTCTCCTCTGGTTGTGCCGGGTGGGCGGAGGGGTGAACCCCGCGCGCGAGCACCCTTGCGGCTGAGAGTTCGTTCCTCTTGCGAGAGTTGAGACGGGGGTTACCCCCCGTTCTCGAACCCCTCGCCAGGGATTTGTTTCTTCCGCGGAAGTCTGACCCCCTGGGTTCTTCGGCGCGCCCCAGATGTCCTTTCCTTCCGGATGGGCCCCCATGGATCCTACGTTTGAGTCGGCCAGTTGATTCCAATCCTGACCGTTTGGTTGTCCTGGGAGCTCGATGTCGTATGTGTTTCCTGCTTCCCTCTCACCGCGTGCATCGTGGAGGAAGCTCGTGACAGACTCCTGGTGCTTCCTGAGAAACGCCACTGCGTTGACGCAGGAAGACGGGCCGTCGCGCGCGGGCCTGAAAAGTGTGTTCCCCCCTTCCCGGACCTCCGCTGCCCAGCTCGGGCGGCCTTTTACAGTCGGGGCCCTGAAGAAGGAACCCTTTTCGTTGGGGAGGGGCTCCGTGTTCCTTAATTGTTTCGCAGCTTGCCTTAGATTGTCCTTAGGTTTTCGATACGAAATCGAAGTTTAACTTATGGAAAATAGGGGCCTCGTTCATTATTTAGGGTTCCTTGGGTCAACGCCCCGACTGTACCTGCGGGCCCAGGATCGGTGATCCTTCGGACGCGTGTTTGCCCAAGCGTGTGTCTACCCCGGCCGGTTCCGCCGATAGCGCGCAGAGTGTGTCGGCCCTCATGGCTTCGCCTACGCCGTACAGTCGGGGCGTTGACCCAAGGAACCCTAAATAAGGAACGAGGCCCCTTTGTCCCGTAAGTTAAACTTCGATGTCACATGGAAAACTTTAGGAACCCCCAAGGCAAACTGCAAAACAATCAAGGAACACCGAGCCCCTCCCCAACGGAAAAGGTTCCTTCTTCAGCGCCCCAACTGTACTGAAGGGCCTCGGTGGACAGACACACGCTGGCGTCAGCACACGCCCTGAGGAGCACCGGCAGGAGCTCCCTCCTCTGGAGCTCGTGGGGCCGTGGGGTGGGGCTGCGTGGCGGGGCGCCCCGGGTCGCGGCCGGTGGCCGCTTCCGGGGCCGTGCTGGGTCCTCGCCGGCGCTCTCGTCGCCCGTGCTCTTTCTTCTCGGCCCCCAGCTCTCTTCAGCCACGCGCAGAGGGGGGTAGGGGGAGGGGGGAAGGCTTCTGAGAAGCACCCCTGCTTCTTAGAAGGCGTGGGCCTTCTCTATGCATGTAAGGCCAGGGCCTTCTAAGAAGCAGGGGTGCTGCTAAGAAGCCTTCCCCCCTCCCCCTACCCCCCTCTGCTCGCCGCCAATCTCTTCTGGAGCCCGGAGCACTGCAGTGGCCGGTGGCTCCCAGCCCAGCGCCCTGAGAGCGCTGCCGGCCAGGACGCGCCGAGCAAGGCGAGGGCGCCATGCAGCGCCGCCGCAGTGCACGGCGAGGTCCAGTCGGCCGTCAACGGCGGGGGCCGCGGGGGTGAGAGGAAGGGCCCTGCACGAAGGAGAGGAGGCACCAGCCGCAGCAGGCAGCTGTCGAGGAAGCGCAAGCATGGGTCCAGTCGGCCGTCAACGGCGGGGGCCGTGGGGGTGAGAGGAAGGGCCATGCACGAAGGAGAGGAGGCATCGGCCGCAGCAGGCAGCCGTCGAGGAAGCGCGAGCATAGGTCAGGGCGAGGATGGCGAGGAAGGGCCCTGTACGAAGGAGAGGAGGCATCGGCCGCAGCAGGCAGCCGTCGAGGAAGCGCGAGCATGGGTCAGGGCATCATAGCAAGGCGCGTGTGTTAAGCTACGCGTTCCGCTTCCACACCAGATCGGCGCGTTGCGTCGCCAGGTCGGGCGGCAGCGGCCAGAATGTTTCGGGGGGGTCCTCTCTCCTACCCGAGGACCAAGCGCCCACACACCAGATTCGCGGATCCGTGTGTGGATACAGTCAAGGGCTGCCTGACCTCGTTCTGCATGATCAGCTTGTTAAGCTTGCCCACCTTGTATCTGGCAGGCCACTGTACAGTCCACTCGCACCACAATCCGCGAGTTCATCAGCCCGGTCGTTGAGGAAGAGGCCCGTGTGAGACTCCACATTCCGCCATACTAGGCGCTGACCAAGCTCATCAACCAGGCGCCGAACATGCAGGGCTAGCCACAATAGCGTGTGCTCGAGAGAGATCAATCAGCTATAGCAGGCAGTTAAGGCTGATCGTGTGATTTTGGCGTGAACGGCAGCATAAGGCAACACCAGGCCACTCCAATTAGGCTGCCAACTAATTGAAGCTTGGATAAGCTTGGAGCATGGTAAGATCGAGCGAAGTACAGGAACAACCAGCCGTCACATGTTACGTCATGGCGTCGCTCTGGTGTTGTTTAATTGCCCTGCGTTGCCTTGCAGCGCTTTGCTGCGCTGTGCTTTGCTTTGAGCTGCCTTATTAGCTTCACCTGTGTTCGTGTTTCATTGGTCCTCTTGTGGGAGTTACGCGGTTCAGCAGCTGGCCAACCTTGCTAACAAGTGCTTGCGTAACGCTCGGGGGAATCGCAATCCTCAGGATCTCTGCTGGGGGTTGGCCAGGTTTACAGCAAAGCTGAGTTTGCCAGATGGCAGATTTGATGGTTTCTAGCCTTAGCCGACGCTGACGCAATAACTCGAACTCCATAACCTACCCCTTCATGTTGATGGTGATGGTGCTGATGATGGTGGTAATGATGAGGATGATGATGAGGAGGACGATGATGATGATGATGATGATGATGATAAAGATGATGAACTGATTAATGTATTGAATAATGAATGGATGCTGATGATGACGATGATGATGGTGATGGTGATGGTGATGGTGATGATGATGATGATGATGATGATGATGATGATGATGATGATGATGATCGTAATTATGATGGTGGTGATGATGAGTTTGTGGATGAGGAGGATGATGATGATGACGATGATGATGATGCTGATCGTGATGATGAGGAGGAGGAGAAGGATTATGGTGATGGTGATGGTGATGCTGATCGTGATTATGATCATGATCCTGAGCATGGTCATGATGATGCTGCTGATGATGGTGGTGGTGACGCTGATGATGGTGGTGGCTGTAGTGTTGGTGGTGGGTGCTGATGACCACGAGGAAGAGGAGGAGGAGAAAGAGGAGGAGGAGGAGGAGGAGGAGGAGCAGGGGGAGGAGGAGGAGGAGGAGGAGGAGGAGGAGGAGGAGGAGGAGGAGGAGGAAGAGGAGGAGGAGAAGGAGGAGGAGGAGGACGAGGAGGAGGACGAGGAGGAGGAGGAGAATGCAGCATGAGCCAGGAGGTGCCAGGATGGGTCAGGAGGCAGGAGGATGACGCAAGAGGAGGAGGAGGAGGAGGAGGAGGAGGAGGAGGAGGAGGAGGAGGAGGAGGAGTAGGAGGAGGGAAAACCAGCGAAGCAGAAGTCTGGGGGCACAGTTTCAAGAGAGGTCTTGCTTTCCAGGCACGGGACAGGACCTCTCTCGAAACCTCAGCGGATCCAGACGAATGAGGAGGTTGCGAACCAGCAGGAGGAGAAGAAGGAGCAGAAGGAGGAGCGGATTTGCAGCCATCGCCTGCGAAATTATCCCGGCCGCGATATGGTTTCTCATCCAAGGCGCTTTTATACTCGTGCTGGACTGCAGTCCGCAGACACGTCCTGGTGGCCATTCCCTCCTCATCAGCATCACCATCAGCATCATCACGCCTCCTCCTCCTTTCTCCTATTCCCCCTCGGCTCGGCCTGGCTCATAAGGCATAAGGTACGTAGCCTACACAGATTGATGACGGAGGGGGGGGGCTGGATACGTAGCAGTGATTTCCTCCTCCTCCTCCTCCATTCCTTTTCCTTCCAAGTTTTCCCTCTCCGTCGCACCCTCAGACATGTCCGTAGGATGGGCCGGGCGTTTCGCCAGAGACTTCCTCGCCATCACAAATGGAGGGATGATGATTTTCAAAATATGTGGCTCTCGTGTGAGAGCCGGCCATTCGTCGTAACAGTTTGCAGCAGCTTCATGGATGGAGGGTTGGTCTTTTTCATCGTGGTGCTCTTGCTTCAGCGCCGCGCACCTTCGTTTTAACAAACTGCAGCAGCTTAGAGGACGGGTCATTTTCAAAATGTGGTTCTCGCCCTAGCGCCGCGCGCATTTTTTTACACGTCTGCTACAGGTTCACGGATGGAGGGCGCGTCCTTTTTCACAATGGTCGTTTTGGTTCAGTGCCGCGCGCACTCGTCTTAAAAGCTTGCAGCATTTAAACAGATGGAGGGTGGATCGTTTCCTAGATGCGGCTCTCGCCCTAGCGCCGCGCACAGTCGTTTTCAAAGTCTGCAGCAGCTTCAAGAATGGAGGGCGGCTCCTTTTTCAGAATGTGGTTCTCGTGTCAGCGCCGCGCACATTCGGTTTAAGTGTGTGCAGCAGTTTCAGGGATTCGTATGGCCGACCTCCTAGGAATGGTCTTCTTGATTGTCAGGACGCAACGGTCACGTTGATTCGCGGTGTTGAAGTCCCAGAAACGGTGTCCTGGTACAATTTCGGATTGTCGGGGTGCGACGGGTCTTGTGATCCCGAGCCCTCTGTGGGGGGGACTTACTCTTACATAATGTTATACACAGACTGTTATGTCTCTCCCCATCGCCCTCTCTCTCTCTTTCGTTCTCTCTCCCTCTCTCTCTCTCTCGCTGTTTCACTCCTTCTCTCGATCTTTCTCTCTGTCTCGTTGTCTCTCTTTCTCTCAGTCTCGTTTCCTCTCCCCGTTTCTATTGTGCCGTGATAGAAGGTCGTCCAATTTTGACAGGCTGGCGCAGCGTGGATCGGAGGCGGGCTTGTACCACCAATCCAATTTCTAGAAGACTAAATGGGGTGGCTGTTCCACAACGGCGAGCTGTTTGGAGCTTCGTCCAACAAAGGGCTCGAACCAGGTTCCAAAGTCGGTTCGGTCCCAAAGTCAGTTCCAAACGATTCGGTCCCAAACAATATAAAGGTTGGCGACTCGTGCGGGACTTACTCGATGCGGGACTTCCTCGAAACGCATGTTCGAGCCAGGTTCCATATCGGTTCGAAGCAATAGAAAAGTGTGAGTTTCGTCCAGGGCTTCCTCGAACATGATTTGGAATCCGGCGAATTGCGTGGGACGTCCTGTCAACATGCATGTGCGCATGATTCGAAACAACAAGGCAATGAGCGTTTCGCGTGGGGCGTCCTCGAAAATGTGAGTTCGACGTGTTTGCAACCAGATCACAATTTATGGGGGCATTGATCGACGCAAGAAGAACATGAGCTTGTCGCGTGGGACGCCCTTTCAACATAGTTGCGCCTGGAGCGATCGAAGAAAGACATGAGGGCTTCGAATGATACATTATCCTCACACGTGCTGCTGCGAGGGCGGGTACATGTTCGCTGGATTGGCGCGCCGTGGTATACATCTTGTCGTTTCGCGCGGGACGGCGCTGGTCGATCTTGCCAGACACTTGGGCGAAGTGATGTGGAGAGCTGCGCCCCCGCTGCCCTTCTTCCAGACCGAGCCACGTTTCGAGTGCACTTGGGTAGTTTGCTGCTATCTTGGAGCCTTTCGGGGGGCATATTGGGGCGTGCGGCTTAGCTGATCATGAGGTGCTCTGCGTCGGTGTGCTGGTTATCAGTGCTGGTGTCCAGGCGCCTGGGTGCTCACAGTCACAGTGTTGCTCAGGCGCTGCTGGGTTCAAGCAGTGATGATGGTAGAATCCCCAGGCGAGTCGCCTCCATCAGGGAAGTCTCGCAGCATGCGGCGCATGCAGCCCAGGATTTTAACCACACATGTTGTCGCGGATCTTCGCCTCGCAGCATGCGGTGCATGCAGCCCAAGACTCAACCGCATATGTTGTCGCGGATCTTCCCACGGAGGAGGAGGCATAGGAGGAGTAATGGGGGAGGAGATGGATGAGGAGGAGGAGGAGGAGGAGGAGGAGGAGGAGGAGGAGGTGCAGGAAGAGGATGAGAAGGACGAGGAGGGCGATCTGAACGACGAGGCGGGTGCACGGAAGGATCGGGGGGGATGGAGGGACGGACGGATGGAGGAATGAAGGAAGGATGTGCGCGGAGAGATGGATGAGTAGAGGAATCGGTGATGCGGGATGGGAGACGGAGGGAGTGAGGAAAGACAAACGGGCAGAGGGATTGAAGAAGGCAGGACGGAGGGATGGGGGATGGAGAGATGAGGGACCAGATAGGGTGCAGCAGGGATGGTTGGAAGAGGTATGGATGGAGGATGGATATCCTGAGCATGATTGATGAAAGAGTGAGGGGATAAAGATCTCGGACGAAAGGAAGGGTGAGGCACGGAGGGAGGGATGAGGCACGGAGGGTGGAGTGAGTTGATGGCTGGAGGGATGGGGGAGGGAGAGCGCAGGAGGGAGGGAGTGAGGAGGGATGGATAGCTAGAATAATCGATTGATAGATGGGCGGGGGATGGGGACGCGAGGGATCAGGAGTGATGGAAAGATGGATGGAGGGAGGACGGGTGGCAGGATGAGGGATGCAAGGGTGGAAGGAGTGATTGGGGACGGATCGTTGGAGGGAGGAGGCGGGAGGAAGGATGGGGTATGGATGGAGTGATCATTGATCCTGTTGTGGTCTGCGTTCTGGTGTTGCTCATAAACATTAGTGTTAACGGGTGTTGCGGTGTCCACAGGCGTTCAGGTGCTCGTAGTCACGGTCATGCTCAGGCAGTGTTGGGTTCAAGCAGTGTTGCGCGTATGTTGGCCCAACTTGCGCTACGTGACAACACGGAAAACGATGTCATCGAATGATGCAACAGCGCGCTGTCCACTCAGGATGTTTACGTGCCTTTCTGGAGCCGTAGACACTGCAAGACAATGCGTCGAAGTTAATAGCGACACCAGCGGGGACGGGGACGGAGACAATGGCGAGAGCGACTGGCACTTCTCGGTCTTGCTTCTTCTACCCTTATCAGATTTTTCCAGAATCGCAGAAAAGCCCAGCACCCCACGGCATTATAAACCGGGAAGCAACATCGTATCAGCCAGACAAAATCCCGTATCCATCCAGAAGACAAATATACCATCCCCAGCCTCACATCCATTCTGGTGATCATGGGCGTTGGGGCGTTCATGCGTCTTGTTGTTCACAGACGCTGTGGTGCCCACGGGTTCTTGGGTGCTCACAGTCACAGTGGTGCTCACGCGCTGTTGTGTTCAGGCAGGTGATGACTGTATGTTGGTGCGCCCGTTAAGACCACAGCGTGGCGTTCACACAGGATGGTCTCGTATTTCTCTGCATCTTTCGGCATTCTTCTGCATCGTGCCCAAGACCGCCGCAGTGTCAGCATTGGGGCGAAACTTCAATCACGCCCATTTATGTCGTATCATCTGTCCCTGTTGCTGTGTCGTTTTCTGTTTCGCTATGTTTATGTTTCTCTGTCTCGCTCTGTTTCGCTGTCTCTGTCTCGCGCTTCTTTCCTGCCTCTGTCTCGCTCTGTTTCGCTGTATCTGTCCCGCGCATTTTCCCTGTCTCCGTCAAGCTCCGTGTGTTCGAGTCGGGTCCGAAGAGGCCATGATAACAAACCATTGCAGAACATAACCTCTGCACAGTCGCAGGGTTCAGTGGACTGAGGGGATCACCAGAGAACGATAGCGAGAGAGAAAGAGAGAGAGAGAGAGACAACAAAAAACAGAGACAAAGAGAGACCACCCACGGCTCAAGAAAGGAGCCTGGGGCAACTTCATGCAACCGCGCTCTTCTCCCGGGCATCCCCACAATCCGGCCGCGAGCAGGCAAGGCAGAGGCAGAGGCAGAGGCAGGCAGAGAGGCAGACGGGCAGAGGTGGTCGGCGCGGCATCCCCACGGGGCGCCCCCGAGCCACCCTGGGAAAACCCGCCACAACCCGAAAAGTGGAGTCACACGGCCTGTCTGCTCACGCTGATTCGCGGCGTGGAGGTCCCAGGAACTGTGTCTTGGCACCGATTGAGGATTCTCAGGCGGCTTCGTCTCCTAAGGAACCGTTTCCCGCCATGAGCAGCAATTCTTCCTGGAACGCGTGAGGAGGGAACTTGGAGGGAGGCTCTGTTGCAGCATTCATTGATGCGTCTTCGCTTTCTTCCCCCTCCTCCCCTTCCAGCCCTCCCCTGGCCCTGCCCCCCCCCTTGCCCTCCAGCCCTCCCCTCCAGCCCTCCCCTCCAGCCCTCCCCTCCTCCTCCCCCTCTCCAGCCCTCCCCTGGCACTGCCCCCCTCTTGCCCTCCGGGCCTTGCGGGCGACGCCCGACCGGCGCCGATTTCTCCTCGCACCCACCGCCGAGCGGCCTGCCGATGCCCAGGGGGCGCGCTCGCCCATCATGGCGACGGCAAGGGCACGACGAGGCCGCCGCCGTGGCGCTGGGTCTGCCGGGGTGGGAAGGTGTCCATTCTCGATGGAGCTGCGTCCTCCTCCTCCTCCTCCTCCTCCTCCTCCTCCTCCTCCTCCTCATCGTCCTCCTCCTCATCCGCATCACCCTCGTCCTCATCCTCATCCTTATCCCATCCCATCCCTTCCCCCTTCTCCTCATCCTCCTCCCCCCCCTCCTCCAGCCCTCCTCTGGCCTTACCCCCCCGCCCTCCAGGCTTTGCAGGCGGATCGCCGGGGGAGGGGTTGGGCGGGCGGATTCCGAGGCTGTGTGGCTTTCAGAGGAAAGGCACCGATACTGCTACCCTTGCCTCGTTTTCTCCTTTGGGGGCCTCCTGGGAGGCCCTCGTCGCCATGGCCGGATTCGCTTCGAAATTATGGTCAGAGCGCACTCCAGGAGAGGTCGGGGGAGACGAGACTTGCGGCAACGGTATCGGTATCGTTTGGTTCCCCCAGATTTGATCCATCGCCACCGCCTGGGAGATCGGATCTCCGCGGGGCTTCGGCAGGCGGTGGATGTGGGTCTTGGCATCGCTCGGACGTGTGCATTTTTCCTTCGGCGGGGACCATCGAGGAGCATCCTTGACCATTTGGCGAAAAAACACGCACGAAGCCGAAACAAAAAACACAGGGAATGGACGTCCGAGCGATGGCCAGGGGTACAGTCGGGGCGCTGAAGAAGGAACACTTTTCGTTGGGGAGGGGCTCGGTGTTCCTTGATTGTTTAACAGTTTGCCTCAGGCCTCCCTGAGGTTTTCCAGGGGACATCGATGTTTAACTTATGAGAACGAGGGGCCTCGTTCCTTATTCAGGGTTCCTTAGGTCAACGCCCCGACTGTATGTTCGGCTCTAGGCATGGCCGAGCACAGCCGTGTCCACCGCCCGCCGAGGTTCCCCGAGGATCGAAAGAAAGCCCGGGCGGTGGTGATGGGCACGGTCGGGAGCCGGTGGCTCTCAGCGTGTCGCGCCGCCGGCTCGGGCCCACCACGCCTCGGCGCGGCACGCCGTCCACGTCGGGGGGTCTCGGGCGAGACGCCCCGACCGCCCTGCCAGAACACCTGGTGGTGCGACGAGGAGGAGGAGGAGGAGGAGGAGGAGGAGGAGGAGGAGGAGGAGGAAGAGGAGGAGGAGGAGCAAAGGGGAGGAGGAGAAAGAGGAGGAGGAGGAGGAGGAGGAGGAGGAGGGGAGGAGAAGGAGGAGGGCCCCCAGCCGTCCACGTCTCAAGCTTCCCCAGCCTCCCGCCCCGCGGAGCGGGGCGACGCGCCAGTGGCGGCTTGCAGGGCCTGGCGTGTCGCAGGGGCCGCCGCCGCGACACGCCAGGCAGAAGCTCCCGGCCGTGAGCCCCCGCCTCGCAGGGGTGGGCCCCAGGGGGCAGGCCCAGGGGGCAGGCCCAGGGCAGGCCCGTGGGTGCATACACTTGTGGAGGGCGATCAATGGAGAGGGAGCGTGTTGCCAAAAGTAGCTTCCAGATGTCCTGAACGTGTTCTAAGCCTGTAAGAAGCATGCTTAAATGCATGTTGAGAACATGTCTCCGGCATTTGAAGCACACTTGAAACTCCACGATGGGACCGTCAGGGTGTCCATTGTCGTGGCCTCCACAAGCCCGGGGGCAGGCCCTCGGGGTAGGCCCTTGGGGCAGGCCTGACCCGGTGCACCGCGCGTGCGCGGGCTCCGCGTGGGCGCGCTCCGCCGGAGAGGGAGCCGCACCTCCAGAGCAGACCTCGCCCCGGCGGCGGAGGCCCCCCTGGGGTAGGGGAACAACAAGTGGCACAAACATAAAAACTCGGAAATCCGCGCGGATTTCTCGCATCGGCGCTGGGGCCCCCCGGCGGCGCCTCCGGCGCCGCCCCTGGCGCGCTCCGCGCGCCAGGGAGGGGGGGTCCAGCGCGGATCCGAGAAATCCGCGCGGACCTCCGAGATTTTATGCTTGTGCCACTTGTTGTTCCCCTATGGGGGGCTCCGGCAGAGCGGCGGCGGGGCCGCGGGCGGAAGGCGGCGGGAGGCCGGGGGACGGCGGCGGGAGCAGTCGGCCACGCGCGGAGGGGGGAGACTCCGACAGGGCTCGTTTCGACTCCTCCGATTCGATTCGACGCGATTTCGATGGCTTCCGATCCCGATTCGGTTCGACTTTTGGGATTCCGACTTGGGTCCCGCTCTCTTGTTGGAGGCAGACTGGCCTGCCGATTTCTGCCGATCAGACTTTTCCCGACTCGGCTGCCGATTTCCGCCGATCCGACTCGTGTCGACTTCCGACCCGACTTGTCGATTCGATTCTGGGCTCCCCTGGGGAGAGTTCACCGGAGGTTCTTGGCTTGTTGCAGCAGGGAGGAGTCGCGTGTTCTGCTTCTGCTCTGCCTCGGTTTGGTCGTTTTTGCAGCGCGGCACGCAGAGGCGCAACGGCGTGAGGGCGAGCGCTGTGGCCCGCTGAGAAGAACGAGTGCGTGACGGACATCAGCCCCTAAGGTACCCGTGGGATCGACCAGATAGGGTGGTGCCCAAGTGCCAAGAGAGAGGAGAGAGAGAGCGAGAGAGAGGGAGAGAGAGAGAGGAGAGAGATAGAGAGAGAGACAGCGAAAGAGGGGGGGGGGGGGGGGGAAAGGTCTTCTCAGAAGGACCCCTGCTCCTTAGAAGGCGCGGGCCTTGTCTGTACATGTGAGGCCGGCGCCTTCTGAGAAGCCTTCCCCCGTCTACCTGCTCCCTCGTGCGCGCCGCCAAGGCAGTGCCAGTTTCGACGCCTCCGATTGGATTCGATTCGATTTCGATGGCCTCCGATTCCGATTCCGATTCGATTCGGCTTCGGATTTCGATCTGGGCCCCGATTTCTCAAAGGAGGCCTGCTAGCCTGCCGATTTCCGCCGATTCGACTTCTCCCGACTCGGCTGCCGAGTTCTGCCGATCCGATTCATTTCGATCGCCGACCCGACTTGTCGATTCCATTCTGGGCTCTCCTGCGGAAGGAAGCGCGTTTTGCCATGACGGAAGCGGGTCCTGAAAGAAACGGGTTTTGAGGTCTTTCGCCGCTTTGGGCTTCTGGGGGCCCTCCACCCACGGAAATCGTCTGAAGACGGGGCAGGATGAAGGATTGGTCCCGGGGGAAGGCCCCGGGGTCCACGACCCGTTTCCCTCAGGACCCATGTCCCGCATGCTTCGTATGGTCCTGGGTGTCTGGAGTCGGCCCCCGTGTTGTCTTACGCCTGTGCGGACGCAGCTCCCGGGTGCAACAGTCTGTGCATTCGCGGGAGGCAGTAACTACAGGACTTGCCATGAAGTATTTGCTTCTTTTCCGTTACCTGAGAACCCGCGCTCTTGTTGTTTGTCACAGTCCAATTCCGAAGGATTCCCAGCTGTCAGAGCGCTTCTACTCAGCTGCCAGCTGCCAGTAGCTCATGCGGCATACTGCTATTCCTTATGTCGCACTTTATCACCGAGACGCGCATGCGCGAGCGCGGGCTCACGCGCGGAACCGAATCTGAGAGCGGTCACGTTAAGGCCCAGTTTCTAGCCCGAGCCCCTGGCGTTCCTAACGCGTTGTTCGCAGGCTGCACTGCTGCGTTCGATCTTGGAGCGGCGGGGGAGGAAGGGGCAGGCGTTCATTGGTAGTTTGGCAAAGGGGGCGGGGGTCGAATCGCCGCTAGAGAGGGGCTCGACCTTTCTTTCGGACTCCATGGATTTACTTGGCAAAAAATGGGCTTCGTTCCTTTTTTATCGTTCCTTAGGTTAGTGCCCTCACTGTAGGTTCATAAAGTCAGACGAAGTGTTAAGCGGGAGCCCCAACACCCCAGGACACCACCTCACGCACGCCGACAGGGTCGACGGTTGTTTTGCAGACTCTGGCCGAGAAGGCCGAGGATCCTGGCCAGCGTGCCCCCAGACTTTCGCGCCGTTCTGGAGCCTCTGGAGCCCTCGGCCTCGAGGAGGAGGAGGAGGAGGAGGAGGAGGAGGAGGAGGAGGAGGAGCAGGAGCAGGAGCAGGAGGAGGAGGAGGTGGAGGAGGAGGAGGAGGAGGAGGAGGAGGAGGAGAAGGGGCACTCCGGAGGCCACCTGGGCCCCCCTAGCAGAGCTGGGGCCGCCGCGGGCGCACGGCCTTCTCCCTGGCAGCGCTCGGCGGAGCCGGCGGGCAGGTCATGCTCGGGATCCTCAGCGCGGACATCTGCGTCAGCTACCTGCCCTACTACACGTTCGTCCCCATCCTGCCACAGGCACGGCGAGAGTACGGCGTCGAGGCGCGGCACGGCCGCGCCGGCACGCGGGGGGCCGGCTAAGGGGGGGGGGCCCGGCGCCGGTCGCAGAGGGTGCGCCCACCGTGGGCGGCCCACGTGTCGAGGTGGGGCCGGGCGGCACGCTTCGCTCTTGGTGCGTACGCTCTTGGTGCGCACGCTCTCGGTGCGCACGCTGCGCCCAGCAGCGCCCTCCCGCTCGGGCCACGGGCGCGGTGGGAGCGTTCGCCGCCGCAGCGGCCGAGGTGCGGTGCGGTGCGCTGCAGGGTCTCGGTGCAGCATGGGCAGGTTGGCAGGGGCGCGCGCTCGGTTCTCCACGCGGCTCCTGGGAGCCCTGCGCCGCGTGACAGCTTTGGGCGGAGGAACTGCCGAATGGTTCTAGAATTGTGGAAGACGATCAATGGAGAGGGAGCATGTTGTCAAATAATTCCCAGATGTCTAGAACATGGACAACCAAAAAAATGTTTAAAACATGTCCAGGACATGTTTCCGACATTTTAAACACATGTTCAACTCGATGATAGGACTGTTAGCGTGTCGATTGTCGTGGCATCCACAATTCTAGAACGTTGGTCACCTCACGAATGCAGACGCCCTCAGGCAAATCTGACAGTCGGTGGGCAGCTGTAGTTGCAGCCGTAGCCCATTGCGAGCAGCACTGTTCGGTTCCTTCTAGACATCCACATGACGTCAGCGCGTGGATCCCCAATAGATGATTTGTTGTGTGTGTGTGCGTTTGTGTGTGTGTGTGTGTGTGTGTGTGAGAGCCTTCTGTGTGAAACCGCACGAGTGTGTGCATATGTGGAACACTGTGCTCGGGGTGGCACTCTAGGCGTTGGCCCCTATTCGTGAGGGCCCCTACGTCTGAGGAGCCCGACGTGTGGAACACAATGTGTGTGGAGCCCTAAATTCGTGGAGCCTTATGTCCGTTACCCAGGCGGCCACCAGAAAGTGCCCCAGCCACTCACAGGCACCCACAGGACACTGAGAGGCCACTGGACAGTGCGGAAAACAAAGGCGAGGCAAGCATTTGAGATCGGGCGGCGCATCGCAAGGGTACCCTCAGTGACCTGATGGTTTGGGGCATTTTTGGCCAGCACAGGGGCTCAGGTTCTTTGGGAATGTTCTTCTGGCCTCTCTCTAGCTGCAGGAAGTCCGAGGGAATCCAAACGACCACCAGACAGTGCGGCAAGCATCCCAAGGAACCCATCGGAATCCAAGCGGCCACCATAAAAAGCGACGAGCACCGTTGGCAACCCGTGGGAACCCATAAGAAGCCCAGCGACCACCAGAAAGAGCGACCACAGCGTGTAGAGCTCACCTGAGAATCGCTCAGAGCAAGAGTTACTTTGGAAACAACGTCAGAGAAATGCACACTGGCTACGAGCTAGGGACAGCAATTCTGAAGACGTCGGCAGGCTTGACCAAGGAGAACTTGAGCCCAGATGGCGGACATCGCCAAGAGGAGGCGGGAAGACTGCGGAGTTATAGCTTTACACGTGCGTTTTACCAATGACTGGCCAGCCTTGATTGTGATCCCCGACTGCCGAGGAGGACGACATCAACGTCCTCTGCATATTGTACGCGATATCCTTTGTTGTATGCGCTTTTATTACGGGCCCTGTCGTAGGATGGTAATACTGAGAAGGGGAGAAGGGCAGTGATGAAGATCAGGAGTGTAGAAGCGTACGCATATTGCCAATGTTGTGATCGGGGCCCACGTTCTTCATTGAGTGAAGATGGCTTGTTTCATTCAGGCGATGAGGCGAGCGTTTGACGCCTGAGCTGTGCACTTCAGCTTAGAAAGTCAAGCAGACCTTGCATGCCAAAGCTAATAATGGGCACCAACACTTTCCGACCACAGCCAGCGCCCGTGCTGTGTTACTCGAATAGCCAGAATATCCAGAGTATACCTGTTTCGTGCCGCATGGCCAAAACAAGCTTCGTGTTGCATGACCATTGCACGTCACTCTCGCTTTGCATTTACGATTCTGCGCATGTGTGGGCGTCTCTTTGTAATCGATAGCACTCAAGGCAAACACATGGCGCGTGTATAGCACGGATAGCGCGACGAGAAGCCGGGGGATTCAGGCAGCTTGGGATGCCGTTGGACGTTTGTATTTGCTATGGGGTTCACTGCAGGCGGGCGATGCCACTTTCTCTTCAAACATGCTCTTTCATTATCGTGTCGTTGGCTTTGAAGGAACATGTGTTGCGCATGTATGCTCTTCAACTTTGTCGAGCAGGGTCTTCATGTACTGTGCGCTGGTATCCTCATTGTTCTAGCTTTCCTGGTTCATTTGGGTGCCGATCTCCCCGTTCGTCGACTGTCAAGGATCACGCCGTTCCGCCGACACCCAGACATGGGAATTCGTGTTGTTGTTGATGTTGCTGTTGTTGACTTTTGTCGCTCGGTGTCCAGTGGAGGGTGAAGAGGAGAACGACAGGTGTGTGCTCGAACACTCAGGGGCAGATCTGGAGTTCTCTTCGGCATCGTTGGGATCATCTCGACAAAGCGTTGGGATCCTCTTGGGGCTTCTTTGGGCCCCCGAGCCGCGACCTCTAGGACGATTGTTTAGGTTTTTGCATACGCTCTTGGGAACCACAGGGACTGTTTCTATACGCGCCCTCTGGAGGCCCGTCGGAGTCCTCTTTAGCCCAGTTGGGGCCGTGGTGGTTGGGGTCCCCGTGGGTCCATGTCGAATTTCTGTGCGGCCCAATCGGGCTATCTCGGGGCCGCCTGGACTGGACTCTTGTGGGTCCCATCTGAAGGATCGCAAAGGCGAGGACCCCAAAGTCACTGAAGTGCCTAGCCTGTCACTGATTTGGGCCTCCTGTGGGCTTCTTTGGAAGGCTCTGGGGCCATCGTGGACCCATCTTGGGGTCATTGGGGGCCATCGCGAAGCTCATCTTGAGTCGAGCAGTCTTGGAGGCCGTCTCCGGCCACATTGCAGCCATCCCGGGGATATCCGAGGCCCAGAGGGAAATCTTGGAGGGCCGCAGGGATCAGGAGGTACAGCGGGGAGCTCGTCCCCCCCCCTTCCGAACGGGATGTTGTACTCCACGGGAAGGGAGGGCTCCAGATTCTCAGTAGTTTGCAAATCGTCAGTATGTCACTGGTGGCGGGTAACGTGTGTGTGTGTGTTTGTGTGTGTGTGTGCGCGTGCGTGCGTGTGTGTGTGTGTGTGTGTGACTGCGTGTGTATCTCGCATTAGCACATCGCAAAGCAAGGAGGGATAATCAAAGGAGGGGACAGCCACCACACATCACACGCTCTGTCAACTCTTGCGGCAAGCTGGGGTCGGCAGATTGTTGAATTCATTGTTGCCAGTTCGTTATCTTGATCTCTAGCTCCGTGGAGGGGAGGGGAGGGGAGGTGGCTGCGCCTTACGCTGTGGGCCCGAGTTCGCAGATCAGTTCTTCTATTCAGATTTTCAGTTGGAGCAGGCCGGAGGGAGGGCACTGGATTCTGGTCAAATTTCGATCTCAGCGTGCGACCAAGTCTTTCACAGGGTTTCTGGTTCGCGCTGAAGGCTCTGTCTGCTGTCGCAACTTTCCACTCTTATCCTGGTTTCAAATATGAAGGACATCAAGGAACGGATAGGTACGCCACCCTCCCCACTTCCTCGACCCTACACCCGCCCCCTCTACAATTGCAGCACATGAAGACTACTCTCTTCTCTCCCCCGACTATATCCAGAGGACGTTCTGAGAGAAGCCGCCGCACCCTCCGCGTATGGTTTTTGTTACGCACATGTTTTCCGCCACGAGCTTTTCTGATGAGTTTTCTCAGTTCGATCGGTTGTGCTCCTGCCGAAATGGCGCTCGCGCTGCAGCGTGGGCCATATTTTCGGATCCGCGCTGTGCTACAGTCGTTCAGAATGGCGCTCCCGCTCCAGCGTGGGCAATCCTTTTCTTTCTGGATCTCACAAGTCTCGCAGGTCCCACAGGTCTCGCAGGTTTCGCAGGTCCCACAGGTCTCGCAGGTCCCACAGGTCCCACAGGACCCACAAGTGTCGCAAGTCGTTCCACAGGTCTCACAGGTACCACCGGTCTGACAGTATTCCACAGGGCCCACAGGTCCCCAAGATGTCGCAGGTCTCGCTTGCCCCAGATGTCCGACATGGCTTGCAGGTCTCACAGGTCCCAGAGGTGTCGCATGTCCAACAAGTCCCACAGAGGTCCCCCAGGTCCCACAGGTCCCGCAGGTCCCGCCAGTGCCACGGGTCCCACGGGTCTTGCAGGTCTCACAGTTCCCACAGTTCCCACATGCCCCACAGGTCCCACAGGTTCCAGTGGTCCCACAAGTGTCGCATGTCTCACAGGCCCCCCAGGCCACGGAGATCCCCCAGGCCGCACAGGACCTTTCCCGACGACGCAGGACACGATGGGGTCGTTTGTTGACTTCTTGGTCGGCTATGACACGCGTCCGCGGATAGAGAAAAGCACAGCGCAATGGGAAGGGATGGGAGGGAGGGGTAGGATTTCAGAGATGGCGCGAGCGCACCGAGCTTGCCCCCCATCCCCTCGCCCCCCCCCTCCCGCAATAGCCCTCTCTTTTGCCCTCCCCCGCGCCCTTCCCTTTTTCCCCCTCTGCCCTTCCCCCTCTACTACCCTTTCCCCGCCTCCCCCTTCGTCACCCCATCCCCCACTCAGTCTTTCTTTCCCCCTCCCCGCTCTCCCCCGCTCCGTCTTACTGCCCCCCTCTCCCTTGCCTCCATCCCTTCCCCACACCCGACTTGTCTTCTTCTCCCCTCCCTCCCCTTCTATCCTTCTTCCTCACTTGCCGCTTTTCTCCCCGACCGATTGCTATTTAGTGGATGCGGCGAAGCGCGACAACTCGAGCCAAGGGAGGCAGATCACAGATTAGGACACCTGCAGGAGCAGGCAGCTCGTCGGTCTACCCCCAGGGGGGGAGGGAGGGGGAACAATGAGTAATTCTTTACGCTTCGCGTATCCCCACCAGCCCATCTCTCAACTGCAACTCTTGCGAAGCATGCCGACAGTCGTGCTTTTCAGGCGTGTTTCCGCCTGCCCCCGCATATCTCCCCCGTTACTCCTTCCTCCCGCTTCCTTGTACATCCTCCTTGTGGGGGGAGCGGGAGAAGGACGAGGCGGAGGAGGAGGGAGAGAAAGCGCGCCTCGTGGTTTGAGTCGTTTGGGGTTTCTCGTCCGGGTGTGAGTCGTTCGGGCCCTTCTTCCTGGTGTGAGTCGTTCGGGCTCTTCGTGGTGTGAGTCGTTCGGGCTCCTGTGTGTGAGTCGTTCGGGCTCTTCGTGGTGTGAGTCGTTCGGGCTCTTCGTCCTGGTGTGAGTCGTTCGGGCTTCTCGTGGTGTGAGTTGTTCGGGCCCCTCGTCCTGGTGTGAGTCGTTCGGGTCCCTCCTCCTGGTGTGACTCGTTCGGGCTCCTCGCGGTGTGAGTCGTTCGGGGCCCTCGTCGTGGTGTGAGTCGTTCGGGCTCCTCGTGGTGGCTTGTATGAGCGCTGCCCCTCCTCCTGGTGTGACTCGTTCGGGCTCCTCGTGGTGTGAGTCGTTCGAGGCCCGCGTCGTGGTGTGAGTCGTTCGGGCTCCTCGTGGTGTGAGTCGTTCGGGCGCCTCGTCCTGGTGTAAGTCGTTCGGGAACCTCTTTGTGGTGTGAGTCGTTCGGGCTCTTCGTGGTGTGAGTCGTTCGGGCCCCTCGCCCTGGTGTGAGTCGTTCGGGCTCGTGGGGCCTCTTGGGGGCCTCTTGGAGCCTCTTGGGGCCTCTTGGGGGCCTCTTGGGGGCCTCTTGGGGGCCTCTTGGGGGCCTCTTGGGGGCCTCTTGGGGGCCTCTTGGGGGCCTCTTGGGGCCTCAGGGGGCCTCTTGGGGGCCTCTTGGGAGCCTCTTGGGGGCCTCTTGGGGCCTCTTGGGGGCCTCCGGGGAGCCTCTTGGAGGCCTCTTGGGAGCCTCCTGGGGGCCTCTTGGGGCCATCTTGGGGCCTCTTGCGACCTCCTCAGAAGCGCAAAGGAGCGCTACCCCCTGAGAAGGACAAAATGAGCCCAAAACCTTCCTAAAATCAATGATTTTGCTGTGAAGGACAATGAGCGCGGCCCCCTGAGAAGGCCAACACGGGGCCAAAACCTTAGTAAAATCAATGTTTTTTGCTTCAACGACGAGTAGAGGCACCAAACTCCCCCCCCCCCCGGGGCCAGAATCCTCGTGAGGGTCGTCGTTTTTTGGCCCTCCCAGGAGTCGAAAAAGGCCCCCCCTGACACCACTCGGAACTCCCTCTCTAGGTCCAGGGGAGGGGGTAGGGGGAGGGGTAAACCCCTCCCCGAAGGGGAAGAAGGGGGGTTGAGGACAGAGAGAGCTCGCTAAACCACTCACGCCCAAAGGGCTGGTGGGATTAGGAGGATTGGAGTAGGACCCCCAAGCATCATCCAGCGATGAGCAGTGAGATCCCCCGTCCTGCACGCTCAGTGTTTAGATTGATCGTCGCCAGCCACCTGCTTCTGACCGCTTCCCATGCCCGATACGATGATGTTTTCTGTTGGGATTTGCTGTGTGGGACGGCACCTCAATTCATGGTCGCGGTCGGTTTCAATGGCAAATGGTGGGCTACACAGCTCCTGTTCAGGGGAGCCACCGCGGCCCACCAATTGGGGATCCCCTAGAAGGAGGTTCGAAGAGCCCGTGCAAAACAAGGAGTAATGAGCTGGATGCTGAGTAAAGCATGGCAGCCCGACCTTGCGACGCTACGTACGAAGGGACATCGTATAATCATGTGCTCCGTATCGACGAGCGACAAAGCAAAGCACATACGTAGAATCCAGTCAGCTTGAATATGCGGTGCGCAAGGACAAAACGCTTGTTGCCTACCGTTGATTTCTGACTGTGCTGATCATGTCGGCGAGGTGACGGACGAGCGATCGATGCGCATTATTCGTGCAGGTTAATACCGGTTAAGAGCAGCGGCCTGTTCCTTCTTCGGGCGCCGCTCTGAAAGGCTTCCGCTTCCGTCACCGCCCACCCCAATATGTGAAAGCTTACAAGGCTCGGGTTGTTGGTTGGTTTTGTTGGTTGGTTGACTAGGTAATTCCTCGTACCGGCAGTAAGTAGGGGTTATTGATACTAATGTGATGCTTCCGACACCTGACACCTCCTGCCTCACGCTCACATTCGGACACACTCATTCGTAGACTCACTCATGCCCAACGCTCAGACTCGCTCACATTCAGAATCACGCCGAGTCAGAGTCACTCCGACTCAGAGTCATTCCGACTCAGACTCAGTCACGCTCAGACTCTCTCGCGCTCTGACCCACTCATGTTCTGACCCACTCATGCTTGGACTCGCCTTCACTCAGACCCCCATCACCACGATGATCGCGATGTAGCAATCGGCGGCGTGCCGACGGGGGAAGCGAGAGGGGGAAGGCCTTCTCAGAAGGCGGCGCCGCTTTTGAGAAGCCCCCCGGCCTTCCGAGAAGCCCTCAGTGGTTCCAGAGCAGGTTCAGCAGGCCGCTCAGAAGGCCGAAGGCCTTCGGAGCCTTCTGAGAAAGCCCGCCCCCCCCCCCTAGGCGTTCCGCCGAAGCTCATACTCGGCCCTCACCCAGACTCGCTAGCCGCGACCACCGCGATGCAGCAGGCACCGCAAATGTGTGGAATGCCAATTTATTTGGGCCCCTTTATGCTCCAATATCGTTCCCCATACAGTCAACCCGCATAGTAAGGATGGGCAACCTTGCCAAGGGTGCCCTTACATCCTTGCCTCCTCGGTCCATCTTTTGCCACTTTCGCTGGCGCGCCACGCTCGAAAAAACTTCTGAATGGGCGTACAAGGCCCTTGCATCCTGATCGCGCATCCTTACTATACTGGTTGACTGTAGTGCTTCCCCGACCCGCTGCTGTTTTGTATCAAGCCGGCTTGAGGCTGAGTTGTTTTCGGCGCTGGGCGACCGGAGAAGCTTCTTCCCCTTGTGACAGTGGCGGCCGCCGCTCCGCCACAGCGCGGACCGGGGGAAAGGAGAGCGACCCCGGCTCCGCAGTGGCAGCGGAGCTCTCAAGCTCCACGTGCGGCGCCGCCGCGCGCCAGCGAGAGAAAGCGAGAGAGAGAGAGAAAGAGAGAAAGAGAGAAAGAGAGAGAGAGAGAGAAATCGAAAGCGAGCCGCTCGGAAAAAGTTAATAATTTCGCTTTCACGTGTCGCGGGGATAGTATGTTCGAGAACAGCAAGGAGCTGGATTTCGTTCAGAGGAGCGCTACAGCAGAACAACGAGAACTACGAGTGCAGGTTCAAGCGCGACCTGTTTGACAACACAATGGCGGCCGCGAGACAAGGTGGTCAAGGAACACGCACACCAGACAAGAGGCCAATGACGGGCTCACATGGCGGCATGGCGTTGGTGATCTTTCTCCGTCTACTCTGCCGACGCGCGGTGGATGGGGTGATCAGCGACACGACGGCCATCCTCCAGGGTTTTTCGGCACGGAC